CTCCTTTATCCGGGCTTGAGACCGGCTACATCAATTTTAAGTAGGCGGAGTTAAAAATTGTACACGAACAACTTGTTGTAACGTGTACAATTTTTTAAAGAAAATAAAATTTAACGATTAAAAAATAAAAAAATTTTGATTAATATAATTAAATCAAATATCGCTTACCTGACGACATGCAATTTCAGTGTATTTATCTTATAGTCGAAAATGAGCGTCCTGCCAATACTTCACACACATTAACGCTTCCAAAACATCTTCTTTCAATTGGCTCCTGACATCAGTCAAAATCCTTTTACCTGCACTAAAAGCAGACTCTGAAGCAACAGTGTTAACCGGAGGTGTCAATAGATCTTTCGCAATTGCAGAAACAATTGGCCAACGTCTTTCATACTTTCACCAGAATTCAATTACTTCTTCTGAAATTTTTTTAATTGTTCTGTCTGTTGGCATATTATGATTGAAATAATCAATTAATTCGACAGACATTGCATTTTAAGTTTCGGCCGATATTTGATGAGATGCAGATGCAAACGACATGACACTAGATGAACACATTGCAGTTTCATCATATCTAAATGTATTAATGCCCTGAAATAAATTCATTATTTTCGCAGCATCTTCTTCAGTTTCAGCAGAAGGAGTAGGTGCAGCAGAGGGTACTCGACTAACATTTGCACCCATTCTTTCTGAATATAAATCATACATTCCACATAATGTTTGCTCTAAATTCTTATAGGTGATAGGTGTATCAAGTATTAAAACTTTATTGATTTGATCAATTACATAATTAGTTCCTGAAATATTATATCGGTGTCCATTGCGCATGCTAAAAGAAATAATATAGGCAGTTCTTCCCAATATTTTCTAAACTTTAATTCCATAGCAATTAAAATTTCACTAAAAGCAGAATCATTTTTATACTTATGAAATGTTCTTGCAATTATATAAAGGCGTTCAAGCACCATACAGCTTGTGGGATAATAAATGCCGGATAAAATCTTTGTGGTCTCATAAAAAGATGTCAAAAATTGTTTTACTTTCAAAGCTAAAATCCAATCGGATTCATTTAACATACCATCATCATCACTTCTAACATGTCTATTATTATAAAAGTCAGTTATTAAATTTTCGAAACCTTCACATGATTTTAATAGCAAGTATGTAAAGTTCCATCTATGACATACGTCGCTAACAAATGTTTTAGCAGTCATCACCCTTAGTTCGGCACAAAATCTTCAAATTCTTGTTTTCTACTAGAAGAGATCGTAATATATACTAATGCATTCCTAATCCTTTGAAATTCATCCTTTATATGTTTTAAACCATCTTGCAAATTAAATTCAAGATATGACACACACAACGAATATGAAACAAATACCCATCAAAATCAGGTTGAAGTGTTCTACACAATTTATCGACGACTACCTTACTAACGTTAGCATTATCAAAAGTAAAAGATTAAATTTTACTCTCACAATGATATTCTCTAACAATACTGATAATAGCATTATATATATTATTAGCATTGTGAGGAAATCCAATAATTCTAAAAACAATAGTTTTCTTATGCTTGCACCAAAGTGGGTCTATATAGTATTCGGTTGCAGCTATATATGCTCTTTTATTAACCCCTTTCCATATATCAGAAGTTAAGGATATAACACCCCCATATTGTTGCAAATCCATAATTAATTATTGTTTTGAATTATTGAAATAATTTATTGTATCGGCACGAAGAATGTTTCGACTTACCCCAACGTACCTTGGTTGTAGATATTCTTTCACGAACGAGATGAAGTGTTGGTTGTCTGCAATAGTAGAGGCAACTCAGTGGCGGCAACAAATTTCACTATTCCGGTTCGAGTCTCATCCTCCGAATACACCCACATGGATAGGGGTGAAGTTGTAGAACCGATGCCTGGACTGCCAAATTGTAATTGTGTTTAACCAACTGGAAGAAGTCCATGTCTGGCTGCACATGATTTGTAGTGGCGGTTGAGATGAATGATACCAATTCTTTTTTGCCATGCCAATCTTTGTTGGCAGTATTTACATACTGCTTCAAATTCTGCAAGGCCATCAACGACTTTTCCCGTTGAAATCAACTTAAAGTGATCCCAACATTTTGCTTGTTTTTTGGCCTTTCGCTTTCCCCTCGCATCTGGGATATTTAATTGCTGATCTTCATCTTCATGTTCCGTTTCGGGAACGTTAATATCATCCAAATCAATTGGAGTGTGATTTCCCTGACCGTGAATGTGAACATCTTCAGGTATCGGTATGTCATTTAGATCGGCAATTTCATTTGGAAATTGACTTTGCGGCGTCCTAGGCGATTCTCCATGATGTGGCAATGGCTCACATCCTGTATCGAACAAGCTCTCAACAAATGAACGTTGATCCATCCTTGATTGTTTATGATGAAATCTTGACTAGATGAATATAAATGTAGTGAGATTGTGAGAATTGGATAAATTGAAATTGTAACTAATAAACTGTAAAAATTAAATTGATATTGTATATTTTACAGCACAAGAGAGTAAAAACCCGATAATTGATATAATAGAGGAGAGTTGTAATCTTGGAAGAGCAGTTGATATGAAAAAAAATTTTTGGGGGAAGGGGATATTTATAGTAAAAGGGG